CTCTCTCTCTCTCTCTCTCACACACACACACACACACACACACACACACACACACACACACACACTTCAAATACTCAATCAGTCAATCAATCAATCCATCAACCAGCCGACCACCCAATCAATCAATTGGTTGTGTGATTGATTGATTGATTGATTGATTGATTGATTGATTGATTGATTGATTGATTGATCGATTGATTGATTGATTGATTGACCGTTTGATCGATTGATTGATTGATTTATAGATCGATTGATTGCTTGACAAATTGATTGATCCATCTGTTAACGAATTGCAAAATCTATCCTTCCCCAAACAACCAACAAGTATATAAACCAATGAATCAATAGATCAATAAACCAAACAACCAACCAATCCATAAATTCCCCGGTGACAATCAACGATTAAATGAATCAATGAATGGATGAATGAATCGATCAATCAATCAATCATTCATCAAGGCAATCATGTTTTTGCACCATGGCTATGCCAGACCCGGACCCGGACATTTCCGGACATGGAACCGGACCCGTGTCCGGTAGTTTCCGGACGTCCGGAATTCCGGACATGGGGGGATCCGGACGGTCCGGATGCCTGGACATGTCCGGAAATATCCGGACCATTAAAAAAAATAAAAATAAAAAAATCTGAAAAAAATTATGTTATGCAGAATAACAATGCAAACCACTTTTGCCTCAGAGTCATGTCAGAATTCCAAACCAAACTTGAGTTAAAAGTCAAAAACTATAAAAAAACTTAAAAAAAAACTTTAAAAACTAATAAAAGGTAATGAATTATTAATAATTAAAAACTTGGGGTTGTCTAATAAATTATTATATAAAGAGAGCATGTCCAGACCCCCCAAAAAAGCATAAACGGCCTTGAAAAAGCCCCAAAACAATTTTGGGGGCTTGGCTCCTCAATGGGGAACGGTCCTCTACCGTTTTTTTTTTTTTTTTTTTTTTCCCCTCGAAATTTGGCAGATCCGGACCTTCCAGACTGGACGTCTGGAGTCCGGACTGAATCCAGACCGTCTGGACGGAGGTCCGGACGTCCGGATCCTAGCCATGCTTTGCACTGTCAAAAAAAATGATGGTGGAATAAATTGATAATGGTTGTCGTTCTTTGTGAATGACTGGAGGTCCCTTCAATTCATATCACAATTCGTTCCAAAATATTAAAGCAACGACATAGGTGCACAGTTCAACAACCGTATTGTAATAAACAGATGTTCGCTCGCAATGTGCAGAGTTGTGAGATCATGAAGTTTACACAACAGAAAATCGTGGACAACAATGTTCGGGGCAAGTTGGCGGTCGTTGACGAGAGTTTGCGTGAAGTTGACGAGTTTATGGCAACAGTTGCCGCAAGTCTGCGTGACGCCGATGCGGCACTCTCATTACTCCACAAGCCATCGATGGTCACAAATACTGATGTGCGCTCCGTGGTTCAGATAAAGGGAAAAAAATCATCAGGAGATCGCTTACGTTCATTTTCAGGATTCCAAGAGCATGCAAGGGTGTGTCGTCCTAATTACAAAGGCACCATGCGGTGAAGGCATGAGTGGTGATGACATCAAAAGACCGAAAGAAATAAACCCTCACCAAATAAGTAAGAATGAGAAGTCGGGAGTGCGAGAGAGAGAGAGAGAGAGAGAGAGAGAGAGAGAGAGAGAGAGAGAGAGAGAGAGAGAGAGAGAGAGAGAGAGAGAGAGAGAGAGACTCTGAAGGATAAAACCATGGTTGTGTATTTCATAACACTTTGTCACGTGATGTATTGTATTCGCGCAGCAACTGTCGACACACATATATTGACACAATTATCGGAGTTCAGTGTGTATCATCATGTCACTCGAGAAAGATTTGCACGATGCAACACGAGTTATCGAAAACGTTGTCAACAATCTCAGTGTGGCTAGCAAACGGTTGCATGCAGCAACATAACTTGCTCGGAGCACGCACGCAGATTTACGAGCACTGCGTGAACACAAGCGATTATCGGGTAGCTGAAAATTCAGGAATGAAAATTTTGAAGTGAGAGTTTTGGGCAGTCTGAAAATCCTGAATGGTCCTGAAGTGGTGAAAGGTCCGAAGACCTTGAAAACCACCTGTTTAGGCAGGCTGCATCCTGAAGTGGTGAAGGGTGTCCTGAAGTGGTCAAGTGAGAGTTTTGGGCAGTTTGAAAATCCTGAATAGTCCTGTGAAAGGTTCGAAGACCATGAAAACCACCCTTCACCACTTGACGATGCAGCATGCCTAAATAAGTGGTTTTCAGGGTCTTCGGAGCTTTCACCACTCAGACTTGAATGGTCCTGAAGTGGTGAAAGGTCCGAAGACCCTGAAAACCACCTGTTTAGGCAGGCTGCATCCTGAAGTGGTGAAGGGTGTCCTGAAGTGGTGATGAAAAATACGACTGTTGTTAACCTTCTCTCTGCGTGAAGAGATTGAGGCGCAAGAAAAGTGTGTGGTCGAAAAGGAAATTACGCTTCAAGAACACAAAAACGAATCTTCGAATGCAGTCCGGCCACATACCGACAATCCATCTATGAGATAACAGTTATCGGGTGCGGTGAACGGGGAGTGTGATAGCGAAGGTCGGTGTCCCATATGTGGTCGCTATCCTACTGGGAGCACCACAAAGGCTTCGGGGTCTCCGCTATTACACCGTGATAACAATATATCATCATCCCAAACGTCAACGCGTTCAGTCACATCGAAAAAGACACTGTCATTTCGTTAACCTTGTAGTATGGTTGTCATGGTAAGACGATACAACATTTTTTGGCCTTGGAACATACACAGCTGTGAAACGTGCACTCAATCATTGGCAGTACGCCTTTCACATATAAATTTTAATTTATATGTTTATTTCAACTAACTCTCTCTCTCTCTCTCTCTCTCTCTCTCTCTCTCTCTCTCTCTCTCTCTCTCTCTCTCTC